AGACCCATTTGCTTATTTTTGCTATAATTTCCCTTGCTATTATAATTGAATTCCCACAGACATCCTTGGAATCAATGTCACAGAATGTTTTACCCATGTTTTCTTCTATATATTTAATAGTTTGGGGTCTTATATCAAGTCTTTAGTCCATTTTTAATTAATGCTTGTGTATGGTATAAAATAGTGATCTATCATCATTCTCCTGCATGTGACTGTCCAGATTTCTCAGCATCATGTGCTGCGGGGTATTCTGGACTCTCAATTCTGGAATAAATGAATTCTTACATGTCCCCCTCCTCAAGTATGCCACAAAACAACAGGAGATAAATGCATGGATTAAAAAATACTTGAATGCATTTCTGGCAAACTGTTCAGGATTATTTGTAGAATTTCGAGTTTTTACCTAATAGTTCAGCTAATAGTAGACACCATTTTACAGATATGGAGTAAGAATTCATGCCACAATTCCAAATATTTCCCTGGAATAAGCCTAAACCTTATTAGGCTGCTCATCTTTGACCTTCAAAGATAACATTACTGTACCAGAAATAGACTCAGCTAAGTATGTAGTTAATTCATATTCTCAAGATCAGGAACCTTTGTCTCTAGACAGTGAGTTTGGGGAAAATGTGCCTTAAAATGAGGAACACAGTCTGACCAAGACTGAAGGTCTTGATATTAATCACGGGTTTGTTTGAAGGGAAGTGAGATAACAGTGGACATGTGATATAATCTTATGCAAAAACTAGCTGCCCATCTCCACTTTCAGTGAATGATTTTCTCCATGAGCGATATTCCTATTGACAACTCTTGGAGAACATTATGAATAACTAATTAGCCTGTCATGATAGAAAATTCCCCAGGGATGGTCAGCTGCTCACTGAGGGCCTGTGGGCATTCAAATACACTGCCTTAACAGGAGCACATCTTGACTCAAGACAGGAGATTAATTTAACAACCTGAATTGGGAGTAATTTTGAAATTGGTTAGGGTTTGTTATAAGGTTAATTAAGCGACTTTGTTGTGTTGTTGTTTAGAATAATATCTTTGTCCCTCATTATTCAAATGTATGCATTTGCTTAGCTTCGTTTGGCTTCACAAACATATATGTTAAACCTCATGATTAATGAGGTCAGAAAATCCCTTTGGCTGGGGATTGGAACTAAGAGATGCAGTTTGAACATACAGTAAGTGCAGTCTCTGCCCCCCTAGTCCCTGATCTCTCTAGCCCTCTACCCTACTGTGCCTAGCATGTTACCCATGACCCTTGAGGACACTGGGGTAGACCTGGGATTCTTCAAGTAGGGCTTGTGGGCCTGCAGGGAATCTGGAACCAATCTCTGAAATGATGGGCAAAAGTTTGCATGTACTTCTCTCTGCCTCCTCTCTCCAGAGTGAGTTCATAAAGCTTTTATCTTACCCAACAAAGTTTGGGTAACTGTCCTCCATGCTTGCCGCTCTGTCCCACCCATAGGCACAGTCACAAATGAGAATACTGGCTCAAAGCAAAGGCTGGAAATGTATCTGCTGCCTGTAATGGTTAAGGTGGAGAACCTCCTGGGGCCAAATATAGGGACTGGTTGGCTGGGGAGAGGTGCGTGAGTCAGGGACAGGTGGGGAGTGGGGCTGGATTGTAGACAATGCACTGTGTAAAGGCTTTCAAATGTTACAAATTAAAAAAAAAAAAAAAAGTTGACCATGCTAAAAAGTCTGCTCACCTTCATAGTGGTAACATTTACTGAAATAAAAACCAGGCCTCCGGGCTAGGTATTTATGAACGTATATGTGATCACACATGAGCACATGTGATCGTACACAGTAGGCTCCTAATATGAGTAAGTTCCCTTCGTGCACTGTGCACTCCCTCCATATGCCCCCAAGAACAAATTATAAAGTTGGCTTTTTGTGTTTTCCCCAAAACTCACTGTGAGGGTTTCCCTCCCAGCCTCTCCATCAGGCAACGTGCACTGCAGCCGACTGCACAGACTTCCCTGTGACAGCTGCCCTGGAGGTGTGTCACTGGTGTCACTAGAGGCCCTTCTTTATCTTTTTTCTTCTTTCTCTCTCCCTCTTTTTTTTTTGGTCACATCACTGCTGATTGTGTTTTGCAAGCATCAGATCTAAACCACTTATCCTTGTCAGCACATCTGTGGCCAGAGCTGCCGCTCCCAGCCCGCTCACTTATTTTTCTTTCTCTCCTATCACTCCCAAGCCCAGTCATTTCCTCACACTTCTTAGCTTGTGTTAGGAAAGAATGTGCCAGCCCAGAAAAGGACTCCTTTCCATCTGAGGTGTGAAAGTGCTAATCACACAGCTTTAGGTGCCTGCTTCACAGGGAAATGTCTCCCAGTTTTACCGAGGGACTTCCCCTGCCTTGTCACCTAAGTGTGTCTGTGTGTGCCCCGGAGGGTAGGTGGAGGGGATAGGTTTTTCTGCTTTGTGCTGTTGTTTGCTTTGTGTTTTCAAGTAATTTTAGTTCAGGGGTTCCAGCCTTGGCTGCACACTGAAATTGTTTGAACAGCTACTAAAAATCCTGATGCCCAGGCCACCCTCCAGAATAATTAAATAGAATATCTGGGGTGGGACCCAGGCTTCATTAGTTTTTAAAGTTCCCTAGTTGAATGATTCCAACATGCCTTCCAAGTTGATAACCACTATTGCAGGGTATAATCCTAAGCTGCTAGGAAATTGAATTCCAAGTCACAGAGGCTTGATTTCATATTTAAAAATAATGAAGCTCCCTAACCAGCAAATAAATGTTTGTATGATTCATATTCTATACCAAAAAAGAAAAAATCATGGTCTAGCTTTTTTTTGTTTTTTTCCTTTGACCCTGTCTTATAGGAAAACCTAGAAGGTTAAATTAGTTGTTTTTCAAAAGATCTAAATGTAACTATTTTAGAAAAGATATATATTCATTGTGTGTTAGTCCCAAATTGAGCACAAGGTTCAGAGAGCATTTTGGCTTGTATTTTTAGCTAAGCATAGAGCTTTTGGTCTGGGAGACATTGAGAATTTCAAAATAGTTTGTTACCTAAAAATATACTTCCTGAAATGGAACTTGAGGCCCAAGAGGGATGAATGGGTTGAATTTTTTTCTTCTATATTTAATGTTACCACAAGAAAAGCAAATCTTAAATTTAAATATATTTGTATTTTTAGAGACCCAGGAAACAGGTGTTGTGCCCAAGCAACAAAGAGGGTTGCATGGCGAAATGTCAGTGACAGAAATCTAAGATTCCCAGGACAGGAAATGAGCATGAAGGACTGAAATGGTTCCCCTGGCTTTAGACAGGAGCCTACTTAACACAGGCAGAAGGCAGAAAGCCTCACCCCAGCTTTTCCAAGAGTGAGCTGGGGGAGAGGTATACCTTCCCAACGTTCACTTGGCCAGCAACCTGTCTAGTGCTATCTGTTGAGGGGAGCAGCAGGTGAGACAGGAGAGGTCTGATGCGCCATGCGAGTAGCTCCCTGGCTGGGGATCGAACCTGTGCTGCAGTGGCTGCAGATAGCTTCATAGGTTGCATCCTAATCCATTGCGCCACCAGGGAGGACCCAAACTCATGGCTTTAATTACCACCGTGGCCTTTGGGAATGGATGTCATTGAGGAAAAAGTTGGGGAAATGGATGTTACAGCATTTGTATTGCCTTGCTACGAGTGCCCTGTGTGTGGGAAAGAAAGGCCAGTCTTCAACATTTCATTGATGAATGTGAATGAAGATTTCATTCATTCTCACACATCCTTTAATTTGAGCGAAGGCACTCTGTCTCCTGCCCCACTTGGTTTAAAGGGATAAATATGAACTTCTTGTCTTCATTGCTTCTTGGAGTCATTTATTCCCTCATTTACTGAATAGATGATGTGGGATGTCTTCTATGCGCATAGAAGACGCAGTGTGGAAATAAGGCAGAAGAAGCTGCAGGGAACTAGCATGTGGGTGGCTAGATTATAAGTGTGAGTGATTGAGGTAGTTTTGCAGAAGGTAAAACAAGGTCTCATGGTAGTTGTGTGTTGCTTCAGGGTGAATAAGGGACATTTAACCAGAGTCTAGAAAGATGACAACAAGCCAGACAAAGGGAATAATAAGGGGGAGACTTGAAGGAAGGGACTTGACTTTGTCCTGGAAAGGCCCAGATGTCCTGACAGGTAATGGGTGTAATGGGTAAAGTGGAAGAGTTGCTGCTGCTGCTGCTGCTGGTGAGGATGGTGGCGGCCGTGAAAGTGAGGGATTTATTGGACAGGTAGCTGGCTCCTGGCCATTGAGCTGGGACTTGACTTGTACTCATCTGAGGACCCCACCGCCTCTACAGTGTTTGGGATTGTGTCTCGGTGACATTAAGCCAGTGTTGGTTCATCGACTGATTTCCCTCAATGAACCAAAGTCAGACCCAGTCCCTTGCAAAGAAGGCCCCTAAGGGTTTTAGGTGATAACTCAGCAAAACATGGCAACCTTCTGCTTCACCTACAGTGTCTCCTCTGAGTTGGCCAACTCACTTTGAATGCCACAACTCTGCTGCGGTGTGACCTCTTGGCCCATGTGGGCGTGTCTTGTCTGGCTCCCACACCCTCTTTGTTCCTCTCTATTTTGGGTTACCCTTCCCTGCTCTGTTTCCTTGTCTGTCCACCCCAACAAACTATAATTTTCTTTAAGGTGGTTGTCATTGTGCCCCCAGCACCCAGCTCTATGCAGTGGCCCTGTGCAATCTAGGGCTCTCGATTGAATGATAAGGCTTTTGTAGACTGAGGGCCTCACCATGATCACTGACAAAGGCAAGAAGTTGCTCAAACTTCCTCCCACTCCAACCTCCACTGCCCTACAATGGCTTTTATTACAAATTGCCTACACGAGGGAAATTGTAATCTGATGTGAAGACATAATTTCTCCTTTCTCAGTATTCACCCTGATGACATCAAGTTTGTTTGAAATTGCATAGCATCATCAGGACTTGATTGGCAGATTGCCTGGCAGGTTAGAAACTCATTTCTTTTCCCTTTCAGTTAACAACGACGTGGTCGTCACAGACAACAATGGTGCATACAAGATCACACAATTGTGTAAATTTTGTGACGTGAGAATTTCCACCTGTGACAACCAGAAATCCTGCATGAGCAACTGCAGCATCACTGCCATCTGCGAGAAGTCACAAGAGGTCTGCGTGGCTGTCTGGTAAGGTTGTCTTCTTGAGACCTTTCTCTCCCCTTGTGTAAGTACTGCACACTTGGGGGACAGTCAGTATGTCTGCAGCCCCTAGGGTAGACATCCATCCCATTTCTTTCTCCTTTAGACCAAGTGTCTTCCAGTTTACTCGATTGAATTGTATAGAATACCTCTGGAAACAGGATCAAACACACCCACACAAGAGTATCTGTGTGTGTGTGTGTGTGTGATGTGTGTGACAGCATAAAAACCTTTCATGTTTGCAATAGATCTGGAAGCCCTTCCAGATTCCTGCAGCAAGGAGAGGGATTCGCCACTTATTAGCTATTTAATGGACACTCTCTTCCCCCCGTGCTCCATAGTGATATATGGAGATTTGTTCCTAATCCTTTTTTGTGGAAAGAGAGGACATGAATGGGCACTTGGGATAGAAAGGGATTGTCAAAGAAGGAGAAGCTACTCAGGGATCTGGAAAAATAAGCCACTCTTTCAGAAGCCCTGGCTACGTTGCTGCTGTTGCCAGCGGGAAACCCACCACACCTTCCTCTTGGATAGAAACTACCTGGTTTCTCCTAGATAAGATTCCCTTCCTTCTGTCTCTTATCCACACCCCCATCTCACCCCCACCTGCGCATATATGCACACTCACACTCACACGAGGTTACTCATGAATCACTTGATTAATTCATGGTTATGGATGGGGGTATCAGCAAGAGATAAAAGGAAAAATCAAGATCGTTAGAAGAGCTCCCATTTTATAAAAAAAACTATACATTCCTTAATGAAATAGAGCATTTTGCTGACTTACTCTGATCTTTCAAATTATCACCTTTTTGTCAAGTAACCAGTGTGTCTCCTGGCTTGTTGATAAATGAAAATAAAAACCCAAATACGTTCCACCCTTTCAGGGAAGGAGTCTTTCAATACTTTTTTCCAAACCACAGAGAGTTGGCCTTGATGATAGATCTGAAAACCTTGCAAATTTTCATACATACCAGAGAATGAATTCGTTTCTTAAGAACTAAAGGAATGTTAACAGCAAAGACATGTCGTGATAGCTTGCTGTACCTGCCAGCTTCCTTCGTGTCCAATTCTGAGGAGTGCTTTAGAAAAGAGAACCTGACAAAGATCATGTTGAGAGGAAATAGACCTGTGAGACCAAAGGTGGAGAAAGCCTGTCATCTGAGGAACGATCAAGGCAGTTAGTCATGGTTCACCCTATAGAGAGAGGACACAGGTTCTGTTGAGAGGTATTTGAAAGCCTCTCATGTGGAACATGTAATGATCATGTCCTGTGTGCCTCTGAAGGGCAAGAGGAGGATAATAAAATTTGCAAGGGGACAGCTCAGTGATGACTTCCTAACAGTTGAACAGGCTTCCTTCTCTGGAAGAGTCAAATAAAGTTCAGGAGAGGCTGGAACCATCTGGCAAGTCCACTGCAGGAAAAATTGAGACACCAGACTAGATGCCTCAAAGCTTTCTTCTTTAGTTTCATTCTCCACTGGTTCTCTTGACTCAGTAGCCAAGAGGAGAGCTTATTTGCATTATCGACGCCAGACTCTTTTAATGAATATATTATCCCCTGACCTGCAGCACAAGCCCAGATGATTGAATGTGAATCAAGTCTCTCTGTGCAGAGATTTTGCTTGTGTCAGGAAATGTAAGTATGTGGGGAGGAGAAGCCTCCTTGTCTCCTCTACATCCCAGCTATAAAGAGTGAATGCAGGGCCTCCCTGGTGGCGCAGGGATTAAAGACAGCACTATTAAGCTATTGCCAGCCACTGCAGCATGAGTTTGATTCCCCAGCCAGCCAGGGAGCAACCCACATGGTGCAGCAGACCTCTTCTGTCTTGCCCGCTGCGCCCCTCAGCAGTGTATTTCAGTCAATCTGCCTGTTCTGTTTCCCGCTCTGTCTCTGAAGAATCCCCACCCCTACACACACACACCTCTGGCCTGTACCCCAGCCTTTGTATGCATAAATAAATCTTTTTTTTTTTTTAAGTAGATTTGTAAGTACAAGTCGCCCCTGCTAGCCAAAAGTAGAGTGTTCCTATGAAACTTTGTGTGTTCCAAAGTGATGTAAACTGAAGAAGCAATTGCCATTAAGCTATGTGGGAAAACAAACACCAAAAATAACTTACCAGCTTACACACAAAACCTAGACTAACACTCAGGTACAGTAAGAGCAGGAGTGGTGTGAGGAAGACACAGCCTGCATGAAGCACAGCCCCAAGAGGAGTTCGGTGCCGCTGCACCTGCCGCTCAGGGCAGTGCTGCTCTGGAGGGCTGCTGCGAAGCAAACGCTGATATTTTTGCTTTTTGCCTTTTGTTGTAAAAATGAAGATCCTCTTTGGATTTATTTTGGTTATGAAAACAGGCAATAATATAGGTCTTTTGTAAATCAAAGTTGCACAATATGAACTTTTGAAATGCAAAGGGTATTTAGATACATCATCTGTTTGTGATTATGGCAGCTTTCCTTCAGTTCCCTCCTAGCACCCCTTAATTAAGGATTCCCATTGTTGTGCCTCCTTTAACAGGATGGGCTTACTCAGCAAGGTTTTGCTCTGCTTGTGCCTGCTGAGGTGTGAGTTTGAGAATCCTTGAATATTTTCACCAAGGGGCTCACTCACCTCAGCAGGAGTCAACCCTGGGCTCCTAAACACCAGGTCCTTTCCTGGTCTGGCTGATCCATCCTAACCCCCCACTCCCTCTCTTCTTACTCCCTGCTTGCCATATGGTCCTTTAGAATCCCTGCGTTAAGTACTAAGCAGTGGGACTAGTCAATGTCGCTCTTGTGTTGTGGGGATATGGACCCCCTCTTTTTCTAAGGAAGTTTTCTCTTAGGTCCTGTCCCGTTTTCCGTGCTCTGAGCAGTGAGTTTGTATGTGTCAGGGCAGAGGCATGGTTGTGAGCATGCATAAGCATGTGTGAGCGTAGCACATGTTAGACACTCGTATGTATGAGCTCAGAATCCTGAGGAAGGTTACACTTGCAAAGTTTTCTCGACCAATCATGTCAGGTAAAGCCTGATTGAAGCTTCCCTAGACTCCCCCTCCAGACACAGAGAATAACTTTCAAGACAACAGGTATTTTGCCTCTGAAAAGTCAGCTTTTCAGAGGAAGGAGGTGGTCGTTCCAACCTTGGTGCTGCATAATCAGCCAAGATGGCGAGTGTATGAGGAGAGCAAAGGGAAGCAGGCAGAAAATAATGCACAAGGATGCCAGAGTTTTAGTTTGGCTTTTGCAATGATAAAGTGGGCATTCATCTTGTCGTTATTAAATGTAACATACACATCAAGCCAACTGAGCATTTCCTAGGGCCCAAGTGAAGTGCCATGTGAGAGACGGGCAGGGCCTGAGCTGAGCTAGGCTCCAATTAGCGCAATGAAAGGATACTAGATGTAGAAGTCATTAGTTTATGACAGCACAAAATAGTTCCCTGAACTGTAAGTTAAGAACAGACACCTTGCAGTTCTCTCCCATGTGTTTTAATTTTTCCCCCTCTTGAGGGCCTTTCTTGTAATTTGGGAAGCTGCAGTTCTTTACCCAGGAAGTTTCTTCCGCTTTCTCAGCACAGCCAGACAGGGAACATGCCCTCACACACAGTACCCTGGGGCCTCGCAAACAAAAAAAGAGGAATTGCAGCGACTTTCCCAGACATGCTCTTTGAGAACAGTTTAGCCAGACATGACCCTGATCCTGCCGAGTAAACTGGGGATGCTGTGTGAGCCCTGCAGAACACGCGGGGGGAAGGCGACCACTGCTCAGGACCTCGCCCTCTGCTGGTTCCCATGCCCTCCCCTGTAATGACTTAATTCAGATTCGATGTTTAAAATCCTCCCAGAGCATAGCCCTTGTGTGTGAAATTATAAGTAGGTACTGAGACTAAGCCAAAGAAAAATTAGATGAGTAGAAATGCAGCACAGCTTCAGTGCTGGAGACCAGGCCCCAGCTGCCCTTGTTAGAAATGACCTCACTAAGGCAACACAGTCCAGACTCTTCTTCTGTCCAGAGACTATAGTCACCTGTTCTTTTTCTCTCTCCCACCCCATGACCCCTGCACTCCAGGAGAAAGAATGACGAGAACACAACACTAGAGACAGTTTGCCATGACCCCAAGCTCAAGTACCACGGCTTTGTTCTGGAAGATGTTGATTCTGAAAAGTGTATTATGAAGGAAAAAAAGATGCAGGGCGAGACGTTCTTTATGTGTGCCTGTAGCGCTGAGGAGTGCAACGACCACATCTTCTTCGAAGGTGGTGAGTTTTCCTGGCCTCGGGCTGGGCCTGACTTCCTCCATGCTCACTTCCTGTGTCTCTGGTCTGCAGCCTCAGAGCTCTTCCTTCTGTGGATGATGCTGTGAGCTTGGGCTCTGTGGGATGGCAGCTCTTTCACCGGGTAGAAAGAGGTGCTCAAGGAATATAACATGGTGGCTCTGGTCCTTATCAAATCTGACTCATATTTGGCTTTGAGGAATTTTTCTCACTCACAGCTGTGGTTCTCCAAGCTCAGTACCTGGAGCAGCAGCAGCTGACCTGAGAACTTGTTAGAAATGCACATTCTGGGCCACCAGGAAATGGAATCCTCAGTTCTGGGTGCAAGACCCCTCAATCTATTGTAATAAGTCTTCTGGGTGATTCGCATGTAAGTGAAATTTGAGGACCACTAGTCTAGAGATCAGAGGAGACTTAAATGGGAAAGGTACTTTGAATTAACTCAAGGGTTTTGTGTGCATATTCCTAGGATTTTTCTAAAGGGTCTTTATCATAGGTTCCATTTTAGAGAACTGAAATGCAGAGGGAGAATAATGAACCAAGGTTTACCCGTGGAGACGGGGAAGACTCTATCAGATACTACTACCCTTGTTTGAAGTTCAGCATTCACTAAACTAGAAGGGAGGGTGCATACTGTTCCTTCGATCTAAAATATGACTCAATAATTGTTTAGTGATGAAAGTAACACGTTCCTTATCAAAAGTTCGAATAATCAGCAGTACGTAGAATTTTTTTTTTAGTTTTTTGTTTTTTTATATCATTGTTCATTTTTAAACAATATTTGCTTCCCCCCACCCCCTCAGGTGTAGTCCCCATAGAGTTTCCTTCCTCAAGGCACCCGTGTACCATCACCTCAGTCCCCTGTGCTCCTCCCTCCCTCTGATCCCTCTCCCTCCTCCTCCCCTGCAGGATGTCTCTGGTTTATAATTGTCTGTTTTTGCTTTGCTGTGTTTTGTACTGTTATTTTTTTACCCTGATGTCTTATTTGGTTCCCCTATATTCCTGCTATAAGTGAAACCATCTGATATTTTTCTTTTTCTTTCTGGCTTATTTCACTGAGCATAATTCCTTCTAGTTCCATCCATGTTGCTGCAAATGGCATGAGTTTATCTTTTTTTTTTTTTTTTAAGATTTGTTTATTTATTTATACAAGCACTGGGTACAGTCAGAAGCACGGGAGGGCGAGAGAATTCACCAGAGCCAGAGTGGGGAGCAGAACAGGCAGAAGGACCGAAGTACACTGCTGAGGGGAGCAGCGGGCGGCAGGAGAGGTCTGCGCGCCATGTGGGACCCTCCTCCGGTGGCCGGGGAGCAGCCGGGGATCGAACCGGTGCTGCAGAGGCTGCAGGCAGCTTTGCAACCCAGCGCTCAACCGCTGCGCCACCGGGGAGGCCCGAGTTTATCTTTTTTATACACAATTTATACGCAATTTTTTATACACAATATTTTATAAACAATTATATACACAATATTCCATTGTGTATATATACCACATCTTCTTGATCTTTAAAGACTCATCACCCAAAGCAAAGAAAGTCAAGGCAAAGATAAACACCTGGGATTACAGCAAACCAAAAAGCTTCTGCACAGCAAAGGAGACATTAACCAAAACAGAGAGACACCCCACTGATTGGGAAAAAAATCCTTGCACTCCAGTCAACTGATAAGGGACTGATCACAAAGATACACAAAGAACTCACATGGCTTAACAAAAACAAACAATCCAGTCAAGAAATGGGCAGCAAAACTTAAAAGACACTTCTCCAAAGAGGAAATGCAAATGGCCAACAGGCATATGAAAAAATGTTCAGCATCCCTTATCATCAGGGAAATGCAAATCAAAACCACATTGAGATACCATGTTACACCAGTAAAGATGGCACATATCCAAAAAGTATGAAGAATTTTTTTATTTATTTTTTTAATAGAGGCATGTTTTTTATTTATTTGTTTGTTTGTACATGCATGGGTACAGTCAGAAGCACGGGAGGGTGAGAGAATTCACCAGAGCCAGAGCGGGGAGCAGAGCAGGCAGAAGGACCAAAGTATACTGCTAAGGGGAGCAGCGGGCGGCAGGAGAGGTCTGCGCGCCATGTGGGACCCTCCTCCAGTGGCCGGGAAGCAGCCGGGATTGAACCGGCGCCGCAGAGGCCGCAGGCAGCTTCGCAACCCAGCGCTCAACCGCTGCGCCACTGGGGAGGCCCTGAAGAATTTTTTAAATGAAAGTTAACCTCACTCTCAACCCAACTGATGATAATCAATATTGACAATTTGTTGAGTGCACCATTCAATCATCTGTTCATCTTTTTCCTTTTCCCCTTTTGTCTGTCCCAGTTCCCTCCCTCTCTCTCCCTCTTTCCCTTCCTTCCTCTGTCCATATATCTATCTGTCCATCCATCTAGCCTTTCATGTGTCCATCTGCCCATCTAGCCATCCATCCCATCCACTTATCCATTTTCCAGGGCAAGCAATAGTTGATCATTCTATAAATATTATTTGGCAACTTTTTTTTTTTTTTTTTGCAGCCAACCAACTTTTACTCTTCCTTCTAAGCAAGATCATGCATATAGAGAAACTGCACACTTATTCAGTGTTCTTTATAATGCTACATTATAGATTGTCTTCTGACTGATTTCACCAGTCTTCTTTTAGTGGATTATTTAGGTGCCTCCACTTTTCTACTTAATACTACATTGAATATATTCATAAACTATATTATGCATTTGTGCTAATAATTCTGCAAGATTTCTAGAGGTGATACCTTTGGATCAGAAGTTATGCACATTTTAAATTCAGATGACCACTGTGAAATAGCTGCTTCTCTACCAAATATCTGAGCAGATGTATTTTCGCATATCATCTCTAATACTGGAGATTGTAAACCTTTTAATTTCACCATTATAATAGTGAAAATCATATTCTTTAGATAGTATGAATGAAATCTCAGAGTGGGGAAAGGTTATTTTAGCCCCAGATAGGTCTGTTTCAACAACAAAAGAAATCTTGGGACACCAGTGCTGTGTCTACAGACTACTCCCGTGTGTGTCCAACTGTGGGAAAAAGTGTGTCTCATGCTTTGTGTGTGGTGTTCACTAGCACTACAGGCTCACGTCTTTCTCCCTGTGTCCTTCACCACCTCCTCCCTTCTTTACCCAGCCAGATCCTGGCTACCCCCCCCCCATGCTGAATTTTCAGTACCCCAAATCAAGTATGTACGTCTTGTTGGCACAACACTTTGCAAAATGACTCATCTCCCCTCTTTTTTTATCTAGCAAACACTCCTTTTCTTTATGTAATTTGAATCAGGAGGCTAGATATAACCAAATTAAATCACATTAAAAAAGTAACATCTGATGGCCTGGCTTAACATGTCAACTTTGAAAAGAAGACAGAGGCTAAGCCAAAGTAATTAATCTCTAATAGTAAAAGGTCCAGGCATGTTTACTACAATCTATGCAACTTTCCCCTCCTTTTGCTTACTGACTAGTCTACAATGGAAAGTTTATTTCATCCAAAAGTGTTAAAAATTGATGAATGGTCTGCAAGTTGGAGATGTGTATGTGTATTAATAACTTCAGTTTTCCATGTATTTCAACTCAGGTGATGATCATGGGCCCATATTCACATTTTCCCTTTTGTTATCAGACTATTTCTTTCCTTAAAGAATGTGAGGTAATCACATAAGACAATACCTCATTGTCAATTACTCAAGCAATCCAGTGTGCAGCTGATGACTCAGAAGCCTGGGTAAATTCTCCTCTTCTTCAAAAGCTCTCCAGGGAGATTGAATTTACTCTTGTTATCTAATAGGTGTTTGCTTTGTAAGCATTCTTTTCTTTACAATGGGGCACTTACCCCATCCTAAGAGCAGCTATTAGGAGCAACATTTTGGGATCCATTTCTCCTCTTATAGCTTCTATCCCTTTTTCAAAGTACTTTTTATTATTCCACTCCAATGAGATGACATGTTTTATGTTGTTTCAGTATAGCGATCTGTTCTCACTGCCAGATTTGTGATCTGCAGATGCAATGGATGTTAATTACTTACATCTTCTATTTTTCTTAAATATACACAAGAAAAAATGTTGAGCCACACTGGTTTATAAATGTGATCTTTCTTTTCAGTGCTGTTATTAATGATAAGCTGATGCAATGGATGTTAATTACTTATATCTTCTATTTTTCTTAAATATACACAGGAAAAAATGTTGAGCCACACGGGTTTATAAATGTGATCTTTCTTTTCAGTGCTGTTATTAATGATAAGCTGACATTCAGAGAGAGTGTACTGTTGCCATTTAGAGTGCTCAGCCTTTTTCATGTTATGACCTCACTTAATCACATAGCCATGAAGCTACTGTAATTATCCCCATCTAATGGGTAGGAAATACTGGGCTTTGAGAAGTTTAATGCTGTCCAGGATCATGTGGCCACCAGACTGGTGGGTGGCCCAGCTAGAATTTATAATAGAGTGTGTGTCCACTGAAACATTTGTTACGATTTTCCATCCTTTTTTATTCTCCCCACCCTGTCTCTATCTATTGATATCCAAACAGATAACATATTAGTAGTACACACATTAAAAAAAAAAAAAAACAAATGTTACAAAGTAAAAAGGAACTAGCATGGTAAAAAGGAAATCTTCCTTTCAGTTTGTCCCCTAATTTCTCTGACCACTGTTGAGAGTGAATCATCTATTTTTCCAGAGCAATTTTCCTGCTTGACATTCTGCACAGAAATCCTGAATTTGGTAAAGCATATCACTGAGATTATTTTATAAAAGTCACTTTCATTGATATATAATTTACATGAAATAGAATTCACTCTTGTAAAGTACATGGTTTATTGAATTGTGACAGATGCCTGCACCTCTTTAGCTGCTCCCATAATCAAGACAGGACACTGTCATGGCCCTGAAGACTGCTTCTCTCTGAAAGGTGTAATGAAAAATTCTGAAGAAGTCAGTCTACCCCTACTCACCAGGG